ATCTCTCAAAGTCCAGCCCTCAGCATGGTTGAAATGCTTAGTGCAGGGCCAGTTTCATGCAACATTTAGATTAATTCTTGGTCCAACACACCTGAATCAAATGGTTGAATTACATCCCAGCATGCAATCAATTTCTCCAGAGTTCTTTTAATTATCTATTTACTTGATTCAGGTGTGTCAAGTCAAGGACATATCTAAATGCTCCAGGATACAGGCCCTCCAGGACTGGAGTTACCCACTCCTGGCTTAGTGGGACTTTAAGAGAGCTGTGCACAATGAATGTTTGTAGACTACAATAAACTGAGATTGTACTTGACTTGGAGGTACTGGAATGTATTTTAATTATTCAGATAGGACTGAGGTCTATTCCCCAGATATAAGTCATTATTTTTAGATATCAGTTTTTTTTTATATTGACTTGTTCTGAAATGGCAATATCAACATAAACTATTTTTTTTAGTTCAGAACTTAGCAAAGACCAGAATATCTTTATTTTACCCAAGTTCATAAAACAGATGACATTCAACATCTCTACCCCCGCAAAAAACAGACTTCACTTAGATTTTTTTTTTTTTTGACTAAATCTGGTCAGTCTGTCATAGTCTTGATTTATTCCAGAAATAGTTGTTGAAACTTGGGCTGTGTTTGGTCGGTTTGATTTTTTGCTCTAGAATCTGCTTACGTAAAATGTGCAGCTTGCCAGTCCTCAGCAACGCTGTTACTAGGTTAAACAGGAAGTGTTGCACTTGAACCTGTGTTTGTTTTTCCTCTTAAGACTTCTGCTGTAAATGTAACTCATCATTCTTGTGTGGCAAGCAGTGGAAGTTACAACACCTGTTAAATAGGACTATTCCACTGAAATGAAAAAGAACAGATTGTCTTTCGCTGTTTTTTCTATGCTAATAAACATTTATAGTAATAATATTTAAAATTTTCTCATCGACTTTGACTAACATCTTTGGCACAGTTGGAATCCTACAACCAGCATGTTTCCTGGATGGAGAAGGCAAGGTAATGAGCAATGTAGGTTTTTAAGGTTAGTAAAGCGATTATGTGATTATCATAAAGAGTACTTCTACTACTGCATGTTTGCTGTATCCTCGGAACGGCATGACACAAACAGGATTTCTGTTGACCTTCTGTCAACAATGGATTTTTTTTTCTGGTTAATGTTACACAAAGGCCAAATTATTTTGTCGCAGATACTCCCTCTTGAACTATGTACCTCTGTATCTCTCTCTCTTTTTTTATGTTGTTTTTCGCATATAAATTCAAAATAACATTTTTTTTGTGCGAAAATTGTAAGGGGTGTGAATACTTCTGCAAAGCAGTGCACAGCTTACTTTGTGGTTTTGGTGCTTTTTTTAATCTTTTTTATTCTCTACTTTCACAATTCAACAGTACAACTGTACGTTTCATAATGTGTGCAGCCTTCATTCATTAAATTGTGTAAAAACCCTGATTAGTCACTACCTGCTTAGTTCCTGTTGCAGTTCTGTTTTTACAGGTTTGAGCAATGATTTGTTACCACTGAGGTTGTCAAATTTGTATCGCACGTCTGACCACGTTTCTTACTGCTCCTCATGATCATCATACAATCACATCTCGCTTGGGGGTGAGGTGGTGAGTTGGAGGGGGGGTGTCAGACACCTTCCTGCTATTGTGAGGGGTTTAACAGTCCAGGGATTTTATCCCCCTTGTTTTTATTTAGAGACTGCATAGTTGCATGTGAAGAGCTTGTTTTTTATGTGCTGGATTGAAGTATTTTGTAAGTGAAAGACAATGGTACAAAACATTTTGCTGTAAGGCCTTGACAGTGTTTATTTTGCAGCAGACTGACAAAGAAAGGCATTCTGGCCATAAAACACACCGTGTCTGTTAGTCTCTTTGATTCTCTGTGTGATTTTCCTTCATTTGTTTTGCCTGTTGTTGGTAACTATGAAGTCATGTTTATATCAGCCATAATAATCGCTTCATTTAGGGAAATATTACTTACACCAAAAAAAAAAAAAAAAACAGCTAGATTTAACCAACTTTTGCAACATTTTATTCAAATGTAAAAAAAAAAAAAATATATTAAACATTAATTTAATTATGCGTTTACACAAACAAAACTAAAGGCATGTTATCTGTTTGACAGAAGAACAATAACCCAGCAAGTCTACATGCAGTTTGTAGGTTTTAGTCTCTAACTTGGAAACAGGGAATTTGGGAGCTAAGATTTCTGTCAAGTTGTCTCTCTAGTTCCAACAAGTGTTCCTCCCTTCTGGGCTACTTCACTAACAACTGACGTCCTTAAGGCTTTACCAACTGCCAAAAAGACTTTCTGCAAAGGGAAACCTTGAATGCAACTTTTGAGATGAGTGGGAACAACCGTTACCCAGAACAGAGAAGGCCTTCTGTGTTTCTTTCTGTCACATCCCTTGTGTTCCCAGGAAAATAGAAAGCTGTTCTCCTTTGGCAGAACTGCAGCCCACACAGGCTGTAAAGGCTACCCCCAACAGACCTGCGGAGGCAGTCACCTCAGGCACTTCCAGTGTTTTCAGAGACCTTCTGACGCTCTGTTGACCTTCCGTCCTTATCAGGGGCTCAGCAGATTCTATCAGCCTCTGTCACACCGCACAGCCGGCCCACTACATATGTTTGCATGTGCTGGCGGAAGACAGGGTTCACAAATCATATGTAAAAGTAGAACTGCATCAGAGTAACAGCAAGAGTCTAACAGGCTTACGAAAACAAAAGAAAAAAAGTTGAAAATGCTAATTAATCAGCAGTGTTTAAACATACTTGTTAGATTTGTTCACGTGAAAACACTTGAGTGTTTTGATCTTGTCCCCTTTATTCCTGCTTGTTGCTACATTTTATGATAATGCTTGAAGATATCCGAAATAGAAAATAACTTATAAAACAGGAAGGATGGCAGACTGCTGAACAGGACAGACATGGTAAAAGTTGGTTTGCATCAAAAAGGCACTGAAAAGTGAGTGTTTAAAAAAATTCACAATCTACCCTGTAAATCTACTAGATTGTGAGGCTTCCTACAGGTGAATCCACAGATATGCTATCTTACCAGGTCAATCGGAGACTTAAAGGAATAGTACACCCAAAACATGATTAGCCTTCATTTTCTACTCACCCCCATGCTGAACAACACTCTGGAGTACTTTTTTGATATCTCAAATGCATCTGGAGATCTAGGAGGCTTCTTGCTGTCTGCTGACATTCAAATAATGGAGGTACCCAGCGCCCGAGGCAGAAAGGTCCATAAAAGTCCACAAAAAACGTGTCAATATTCCTCCATACTGCTCGTCCAATGTATTCCAAGTGTTCTGAGTGGGTAGCATCCAGAATTTACTCGAAACAAAGTCATTTAGAATGTTTTTAGAGCATAAACAGTAGTGTATAGGATTTCCTGAAAGCGCGCACATGCGCGATCACGACGCTACAGAAGCCGGCAGACCAAACCAGCGCATTCAGCTCAGCAAAGAACTCATGCTCTTCCTCAACACTGAAGTCCTCAGACATTTTTCTTTCGTTGTTTCTTTCTTTGCACAGGTAAACGGCACATTTCTTCTTCTACGCTTGCATTATTGGAAGAGCAGATGCTGAATGCGCACTTTCATCTGGTTTGGTCTGCCGGCTTCCGTAGCGTCGTGATCGCGCATGTGCGCGCTTTCAGGAAATCCTATACACTACTGTTTATGCTCTAAAAACATTCTAAATGACTTTGTTTCGAGTAAATTCTGGATGCTACCCACTCAGGACACTTGGAATACATTGGACGAGCAGTATGGGGGAATATTGACACGTTTTTTGTGGACTTTTATGGACCTTTCTGCCTCGGGCACCATAGACCTCCATTATTTGAATGTCAGCAGACAACAAGAAGCCTCCCAGATCTCCAGATGCATTTAAGATATCAAAAAAGTACTCCAGGGTGTTGTTCAGCATGGGGGTGAGTAGAAAATGAAGGCTAATCATGTTTTGGGTGTACTATTCCTTTAAGATTTTGCTTTCATTAAATCTTTTTTAATTTTTTTATTTGGGCTTATATTTAGACTGGTACTGAAAAACTAAGAGTTTCCGATGTTTTTAAGTTTTCAAGCAGATACCAGAATGTCAGGAGAGAGGCCAACTACTGGTTTAAGCTATTAAAAAAAAACTCAATTCCTCCACTGTACTATAAAACATAATGTTTTATTGAAAGACAAGAAATCTCAAAGGATGATACTTCCATTACCATGTTTTAATGCAAATAGGATATATTTATTTCGCCTAATAATTTAATTTCAAACAGAATCATCAGCCAAACATTAAGGTTTTGTTTAATTGTATCATGACATACCATCTCTTAAGTTTTAAGATTTTCATCAGATCTGAATAATAAACATAGAAAGATATTGTCAAATGAGGCCAAAATGTAACTTTTCCCCAAATCCTTTCTGGGCAGAAAACTCACACAGCAAGCACACAACTTGTTAAATAATGCAAAAGACTTGAGGCAGGAGTAGATGTTTATAGTTCATTAGAACAATTCAAAGATTTAAATCATGGTATATTATTGATTTTTTTGGCCAATTTACGAAAATACTTAAACATTTTAGTTGATGAGCCTTTCCATACAATCTTACAGACCGTAAGTTGAGCGCCTGGATGGGGATACTTTGCAGCAAAAGGTGAATCTGCACAGTATTGGGTCTTAAAATTGACAAATTAAATGAAAATATTTTATTTACAAGATATGTTGAAAACAAAGCTTTATTTTCTCCCCATTTCACATTGCTGAGCTTCTTTGAGTCTCCCTGCCACAAAGAAATCTCCACAATACAAATTAAGTTCAAGGGGTTTGAATACTTTATCACAGTGCTACCCACAAATGAAAAGCACTTCAGTAAACTCCCTCTGAGTGCAGTGTTGTTCTTTGCTGCTCATGACTGATTCTTCAACTAACAGACAAAGGGAATGGGAGGAGCTGCATGCAGGCAGTGGGAGTGACTTCATGCAACCGCTCACTCTCTACCACTCTAAAGTGCATAAACTGTCTGTAATACCGGCACAAAGGAGCTGGGAAATCCTGACTGAGATGATAGAAAGCCTTCAAGACGTTCCAGAGGAAGAGTTTGAGACAAAAGTTTCTTAAGAGGAAGGAGAAAGAAGAAGGACGAGATCATCCACTCAGAATATTAAAGACATCCACCTCATTACAAAGACAAAGAACAAGGGCATCCAGCCAAACCTGAGTTCTGCTGTTGGAAGGAAACATGCTGCTATATGGCGTGGACCCTGGAAGACATGGGGATCTTGTGACAACTTTGCTCCTTTGGAGGTGAAACAACTTATAAAGAGTTTGGACAAAAGGACAGGATCTTATCATAAGGAAACCCCTCCTCAGGATTTGAATGAGGGTAGGCCAACACCTTATGCCAAAAATGGACCATATGGGTGAGAAGGATATTTGTTTTACTGGATTATCTGAGTGAGTCAAACTGAGTCCGTATCTGGTGGGCTGTAGCCTGGAGAGAGTGCCTGAGCAGGGGGAGGGGAAGAAGCTCCAGCTTGAATCTGTCCTCTGGGAGGATTCTTTTCAGTCTTCATCAACCCCCAAAGTAAGAAGAGGAAAGTTAATCAAATTTGCAATGTCCAACTCAGAGGACCTGTTAGTGCTGATGGCCTGACTGCCTGGTTGTGTGGGACTGGTTTCTGGCTTTCATTCATGGACAGTTGCTTTGTTTCATAATGAATAACACTACCGACCTGGACAATTCAAGCTGCAGCAAGAATGACATGTTCAAATACCCCCTGTACAGCACAGTCTTCAGCATTGTGTTTGTAGTTGGACTCATCACCAACGTTGTTGCCTTTTATATATTCACATGCTCTCTAAAAGTGAGGAATGAGACCACCACCTACATGATGAACTTGGTGGTGTCGGACTTGCTGTTTGTCTTCACACTGCCGCTGAGGGTCTTCTACTTCATAAATAAGAACTGGCCCTTTGGGGGGACTCTCTGCCAGATCTCAGTCTCGCTCTTCTACACCAACATGTACGGCAGCATGCTCTTCCTCACATGCATCAGCGTGGACCGCTTTCTGGCCATCGTGTACCCTTTTCGCTCGAGGATGCTCAGGACCAAACGCAATGCCAAGATAGTGTGCATTGCCGTATGGGTGCTGGTGCTTTCGGGTAGCCTCCCCACTGGGTTTTTGCTGAATAGCATCACAACAGACGAAAAAAGCACTTTCTGCTTTGAGAACTTTTCATCCAAAACATGGAAATCCCACTTGTCCAAAGTGGTGATATTTATAGAGACAGTTGGCTTCCTCATTCCTCTTTTACTTAATGTTTGTTGCTCCATAATGGTTTTACAGACGCTGCGGCGCCCTCAGACCGTCAGTCGTGGGGGAAAGGTGAACAAAACGAAGGTCCTGCGGATGATAATCGTGCACCTGTTCATTTTTTGCTTTTGCTTTATTCCCTATAACGTGAACTTGGTGTTTTATGCACTGGTCCGCACAAAAAACTTAAAAGGATGCTATATTGAATCGGTAGTTCGAACAATCTACCCAATAGCCCTTTGCATTGCTGTGTTTAACTGCTGCTTTGATCCCATCGTGTACTACTTCACCTCAGAGACCATCCAGAACTCCATCAAGAGGAAGTCCCAGGCCTCCCGCTCGTTTGATGTCAAATTCTCAGAGGCCCTCCAGTCAGATAGCGCCTCCAATTTGCAATGCAGCCTAAGGAACCTGAAAGCTAAGGTCTTCCACAACGAATCTTCTGTATGAAATTTCTCAGTGAGTTTTCTTTTGGAGAGCTTTTCCTAATTTGGACTTCATCTCAGGGCAAAAGCTCCCAACTATGGATTTAACAGCGTCTGCTTTGCAGTATTACCACTTACCACTTCACCCTCTGCTCACGTGAGGATTTGTTACGACTACTTACACATTTCTGTTTCCTGTGGATTAGAGTGTAATTGTGTTTAACACAGTCACTCAGCCAGTGATGTATAATGGGATATGATCACTAAACTGCAGAATGGTTATACTGTATTAACATATTATTGGACCTGTGTATCTGTATATATGTAAAGTAAGTTGCGTTGCCAACTTTAGAGTATTATCTATTAAGTTAATATAAAGTTATTTCAAGGTATAGATATGTATGTACAAGGCTCTTTGTTGATATGATACAAAAAATTTATTCTGTAATTCACTTTTGAGAGTGTGTGTTTTTTCACTAGTTGTGAATAACAGAATATAAGGGTGTCTTTTGGTTTTTAATGTTCTGGGAACATTTCGTTGTTGTTGCATTACTGAGCTTTAAATGCACTGATATACTTCCTCATACTGCATTCACACCATTATCATGAATAAAAGTCATGTGCTGAGTAATGCAAAAAAAAAACATGCATCTTGAAAGTTTTTGTTTTAAATTAAAAAAGGGGATTTTCAGTTTACTGTTTTGGTTGAACACAAAGAGGTTATTATTATTATTTAAGTGTTATTTGAATAGACTAAGAAATCCATGTGATGTTTAAAATTTTTTTAAAAGAGTACAGTTACTTTAGACTCTAAGGAGCTTTCAAAATGTCCATCTTGACCAAACAAAGTAAAGAAGTGAAAGCTTAAAGTTGTAGTTTCTTGAAATGGACGTTAACTCTATGACAGCAAAATATATAATTTTGGATACACATATTTCTGGTGTCTCTATAACAACCCGTAAAAATTCAAAAAATATCCACTGGACTTGGTTTTCAAGATTTGAAGACGTTTCGCCACCTCTCCAGGAAGCTTTCTCAATTCAAATGATAATTCAAATGAGAAAGCTTCCTGGAGAGGTGGTGAAACGTCTTCAAATCTTGAAAACCAAGTCCAGTGGATATTTTTTGAATTTTTACGGGTTGACTATGACCTGGATGACTGAGAACCTTCATCAGCATATCTCTATAACAACGTATTTTCTAAAAAGCTTTCTATAAAATCCAATATCTCTCTTCTAATTTCAAGATGACTAATCCTAATTCAGCACTGCAGTTTATATGAAGTACAAGCTTCCATATTTGAACTGGTTACAATATTTATAAAAGACTCAACAGTCAGGCAACAAATATTCACGAAACTAATTTAATTGTAGTGAAAATTACTAATGTCTTAAATGTGCACATTATTCTGATGCATGAATGGCTGTAAGATCAATTATGACACAGTTGAAAAGTTCAGGAACAATTCAAAAAAATATATCTAAACTTTTATGATTTTCTCTTGCATAAGCGCAAAAGGTTTAGGAGCTGATCTGTTTTTTTTCTTTTTCCTACATGAGTTGGAGAAACTAGAAGTAGGAATGTGTTTCACTTCTGCTGGTGATGAATCCAATAGAGGAGATGAATACTTGATTGTACTTTACTGACGTCTACATGCTGTCCACACATACCAGCCATAGAAACACTGATAGATTTGCTTCTCTGGTGCCTAAACTACATTGTAAGTGGGATAAATCATCCTTTTAGACATTTAAAGTGTAGTTGATCAGTTTTTAAGCAAGGTGGTGTCTGAAGCTTGGCTGGAATTTTTTTTTTATCTTCTTGTAACACTTTGTCTTCCTTTCCCTCACAAGGACATTTTGTTTTTGATTTCAACAGTGGAGGCCCCACGCCTCCACCAGACTGGTACAATCTGTACAGCCCCACAATCAATCAGAGAGACTCTGTTTTTGAAAGCATGTTTATTTTTAACAAGGGATAATAATCTGAAAATACGGTTCCAGATAGAAAGCAAATGGAGAAACAAGTTGTTTTCTATGCTTTTGTGATTTTTGTGTTGGACTGGATAAGCACACACTTCTGGTGAAGTGCATAAAGTGGCAACAGATGGATCAGGGTTTGGATTGAAGCTATGAAAAGGCAGCCCAAGGCAGAAGCAACCCATGCAAGGTAAAGGATTTTGGATATTTAAATCATGAAAAACTGAACTCTGTGGTTTAGTTTGTTTGAAAATGGTAACTGACTAAAAAACATGTAACTACTTTGAAATGTGTAAGTTTGAAATGTTCTCATATTAAAAGCCTAATGGGACTAACGAGTGTAACAGTTGTCCTGGTTAAGGAGTCTCTACATATTTTGACGGTTATGTCAACGACCACTTAATAAAAACAAAGTTTATTTTCCAAAAATTTGGTTTCTCGATTTGAATCACATAAATACATGAGACATCCATTGTAATACAACTATGATATAAATAGCATATACTTTAAGAGAAAATAAATTGAAACTCACCCCTAAGATACATATTAAAAGCAAATAAGATTAAAGTTATAGGACTCTGACAGGTACGGAGCCCCTCTGATGACATGGTCAAAAAAAATGTTTAATTGTGGCCACGAAGTAGTATTTCGCGTCCACGCAATAAGTATAACGTGCGCACGAAATACTACTTCGTGGCCACGCAATAAGTTTAACGTGCGCACGAAATACTTATTAATAATATCAATAAATCCGCCCCTGTTTTCAGGCTTATGTTAACTGTAATGACTTATCTTGGACAGGCTGCTATGTAAACGGGCCTTTAGTCCTTCGTTTAGCTATGCTGCGGTTGTTTACACTACGCCTTTTCCACCTAAAATAGCGTCTTAGCAACAAATGTCACGTGACTGGCGGAGACCGACTGGGTAAGCAAATCGAGCGCGCCTTAGACCTTAGAGAAGGCGCGCTCGATTTGCTTACCCAGTTGTCCAGGAATGATATTAATAGTATTAATAAGTATTTCGTGCGCACGTTAAACTTATTGCGTGGCCACGAAATAGTATTTCGTGCGCACGATAAACTTATTGCGTGGCCACGAAATACTACTTCGTGCGCACGAAATACTACTTCGTGGCCACAATAAAAAATTTTTTTTGACCATGTCATCAGAGGGGCTCCGTAGACAGGGACTTATTTAGAAAATTATCTAAATTTGTATGTTTTTTTCTGTAACAGTTTAAAAACAACTTTGCATAGCATGAAAATTCGACTTTTTACTTTTCTATCCTTTATAAGCTTTGATGCACAACATTAAACTATGTATTTTTACTAAAACTGATAAAAAAAAAAAAAAAATCCACCAAAAATGTTTTATTTGAAATACCTATTTGGTATTTCAAATTCTCCAATCAAAAGGATTTAAAGTGCACTACTTTTATCATTATCATTACTTTTTATCATGACTTATGCAAATAATAAAAAAAAACAATTAAAAACAATTGAGCCGTACACCTAAAAAAATAGAATAAATGGGCACAGTCTCAATGCAGATCCTCTGTAACACAAGTGATATTAATTTATTTATATTGTATTACATTAGACACAAAGTAGGAGTAATCAGTCCATTAAAACCTTCCTTCTCAGAATGTCAGTGTATGGTAACCTTCTTGGACTCATATTCTCCTAGAGGGGCCAAAATCAGCCAAAGGGTTCGATATAACAGGTAACTGAATGATATACCAACTGTTGGACCTGGAAATCTTAAACATAACTATATAATATATAATATAGTTTTCTTTTTACTGACGTTTATGCAGAATGGATTCTGAGTGATGAATTTTAAAATAATAGTGTAAAGGGATCAATATTTCATTATCTAATGTTTTATATTGTACATGCTCTGATGCAATTTAGGCTTTTCTTTCATATTAGAAAGTTCAAACTATTGCGTGCATTTAATACAAATGAGGAACTATGCATCGAAATGTGTCATTCTGGGAGAATAGTGTTACACTTTGCCAGTAACTTTTGTTTTGTGTGTGTGTGTGTGTGTTGTGAAACCTTTTGGTCTTTTAGCATTTTCAGCAGATTTTCCTGCACATTTCAAAGGTGGCACGCTTATAAAGATCCAGATACACATCAACTCTACTGATGGTTTTATTTTCCTGTCGAATGGGAGTTTTACTTTCTGGTATTGCTAGATGCATGCTTGGTATGAGGGATCACTGCAAAGTGCACAGTGCAAGCAGCTGTCTACTGTCACTCATCCGGAAGGCTTACTGGCTACAAATGGTGCTCTTTTACTCTAAACGTTTGAACCACTTTGAATGCAAAACTGAACTTGACTACATTGTTTGACTTAGATCAAAAAAGGACCAAGCATAGGTTTGGACTCCCCTTTGTCATTCTGGGATTTTTTTTTATTATTTTTATGATTTTTAACATTTAACATAAATAATAGTGCAAAAGTATTTAGAAATATGTTGAAAAAAAAATTAAAATGGATAAATAATTAAGAATCTAATTTGCATTTTAGACAGAGCCCCTGTGTTTTGATTACTTTTGTGCACACTGTGGACGAGCCTCATATTGTTGTCACCTAAAATGGTATTCCAACAAATTTTGGAGGGGATCCCAGTAGCAGTAATAAAGATAAAGCATCAAAAGAGAAGGTATGTGCAAATGTCTGACTTGGTAATAAAATACTTGGAGCCATGCAAACATCTGTGTTGTATTGACTTAGAATTTGTATGATTCTGTTAATTCTTAATTTTTTTGCAAAGGGCCTAAAGAGTCATGCATTGTAAAATGGCACTTTATATATAAACTGAACTGAATTGAAAATACATGCCACATACAGTGTGTGGCTCATATCCACTGCTGTGTGTCACAATAAGCTGATAATAAGCTTCATATTTACAAAACAGAGGTTTCATCAAATGTTCCAGAGACCTTTCTTTTGTCAATAATTATGGTTTCATTCTTAAGGTATACAGAGGGCCAAAATACATAATGAAAGACATAAATGTGAATGTCCCATGAAATAAATAATTATAAATTTATTTATTTATTTTATACATGATCCAATTATTATTATATATCTATCATTAACTGTGAAATCCACAATTAAATAATTAAATGTCCCATTGTAAATTAAAAATACTTGAGTGAAGTAGTTGTATGTATTTTTAGGGGTTTTCCATTCTGTTGCCTTCTTATTTCTAAGGTCACAGGCTGAAATGTTTGGGGACCCCTGTTTTAGTATGGGGCCATATTATCTGCTGCACTTTTCTTAATTTTGACACCACACATCATATTTTAAATGTTGAAGAAGCGCTATTTTTTTCATCAAAACATTTATTTTGAAAAAAAAAAAAAAAACAACAAACATACTAATGAGTCGAGGGCTTTGCTCAAACTGCTTGGTTTGAGCAAAGAAACAAGATCTCTACCAGAAATTTGCAGAATTGGTTCCCTTTATTTCAGGAAACAACTTGGTGTGAAACTGTTCAAGTTAAAAACACTGTGATTCAACCCAGCATGTTAGAAACTGACAGAAGCACATTCTGGCGTAATTTTTCTCACAGAGTCCGAAGGTCAACAGGCAGCGCTTTATTCATGCTTAAACCTAAATTTAACACAGTCAAGGACAGTGTTGTGAAAACAAACAGCTCTCTAAACAAGAAGTAACGTCCCTGTTTGGAGCTAAAACCCAATTACAGTATTTACAGCATACAGCCATGACTGAGTGATGCCTGTTGACATCTTTGCAAAGAATAGAGGCAGGAACAGTCGGGGATTAACAAAGGAAATCACAACTTCAACCACTTAAGATTAACGTGTAAACCTTTTCACTCATTTAGTACCAAGATGGAAAATATAAAAGGATGGCTGCCTTAATAGTTTAGATTTATTGATTAACTAAAACAAACACTGGGTCTGTTTCTATAACAGAGACAGAGACCTAAATGTTCTTTGCCTTCACAGCCACTATCTAATCAACTTGACCTTTCCTTCTCAACGGGCTGCAGGATGAGAATAAACAGACGAGGCACAGCTTGCTGTCACATGTACTTTCTGTTCTGCAATCAAATAGGCTGGTGGATCAGAGGTTTTAAAAAAATTAACAAATGGTGCATAATATAGGGACAACGAATATACTAGACTTCAAATATTTCCATAATCAAGACAGGTGACAGTATTTATTGTATTGTTTGATTAGAAATGCACAAATCAAAGATTTGAAAATTAAATAAATTTTAGGGTCTCATTTCTTTTATTATTTCTTATCAACATTTTTTGTTAAATTCTTCATAAACCACTTTCTTTCATTTTATTCCATTTCACTTTGTTTTTGGGATGAAGTACGGTAGATTAAGGATTATTAGTAAATTATAATGTATCTGATAAAGTTGTTTTGTTTAGTTTTTTGGATGGGGGGGGGGCAAAGAAAATATATTGCATGCTATTTTTGTTGTTTATGAAGACAAAATGAAAAAAAAGTTTTGAAACACACCACAAACTTATATTTTATATGGATTTTAATGGATTGTGCCATGTGTGTAGAACAATCATTGTTTAACAAGAAAAGATATAAAATATATCAACATTTAAAAAATGCAAACTGCCTGGACAATCTTCCATTATGTGTATGACGTTAACGCAATTAGCAGAGTCTCATTATATATTGCATGTTTTTAAAAACCCTTTCTTGACATAATGTGGTTTTGAAGTATCGTAAAGATTTGAAACTCCAGCTTGGTTGAAAGCATAATGCAAACATATTTAATTACTAAGGTTCTGCCTTGTTCTGTAATGTATATGCTAATCATTAGGAATTGCAGCAAAGTCAATGAGACAATGCAAATGCCTTTCGACTGTTGCCACACACTTTAATCCAAGAGAAGTGAATTCTATGGAAGAAACTCAATGCAGTTTGATTTGATTGGATTTACTCTGTTAAGTGTCTTGAGATAGCATGTTCGGGGGAGTGCTGGTCTAGTGGTTAGAACAGTGCGCTTGTGCTCTGAGAAGGTTGCAATTACCCAGTTCGATCCTCAAGACACTTAACCCCACACAGCTACCTGGGAGCCACACAATGGCAGCCCACTGCTCCACAAGGGGGTGGGTTAAATACAGAGGTAAATTTCTCCAATGTGAGTTAAATAGAATTCAATTGTTATAATTTGATGCTTTATGAATAAACAGATTTGAACCCATTGCAATTTCCTCAGCTGATGAAATGTAACCCTTTGTAGTTCTTTCATAAGTAAATCCCAGCCTCAATATGTATTTTCAGTTCTATGAGTGTCTTGCTTTTTTGTATCCTGACTTCACCTCTTTGCTTCATTAGTCTTCCTCTCTCATTAAAGATTTCCTCGTCTACTAACATGGTCTGTTTATATTGGAATAATTATGCATAAGATACTTAATGTTTGTTCTTATTATGTATAATGTGTGACATATGGGGGGGAGTGGCGATCTGGGGCAGTGGCAGTCTAGTGGTTGGGGCATAGGGCTTTGAATCCGAGATTGGGAGTTCAATCCCCCACTTTCCCAGACTGCCACTCTGGGTCCCTGAGCAAAACCCTTAACCCCACACTGCTTCCCGGGCGCCGCACAATGGCAGCCCACTGCTCCCCAAGGGGATGGGTTAAATGCAGAGATAAATTTCTCCAATGTGAGAGCAATAATGTTCAATTAATTTATTTTTATTTATATTACTGTTCCAGAGAGCACAAGCAGTATAGGACAACTCTCACGAAGTATTGCTCAAGCTTAACGAAACCAGCCGTTCTCCTGTGTGCCTTTCTCCTTCGGACTACCGTCAATCTTCAGATCCCAGGGAACGGGGATGAATCCAGTCCCGTCAAAGGGTCTGAAGGACTTAACGGTCCTACTGTGGCCATAATCTTTCTGGATTTCACCCACGTCTACTGGAATCGTCAGATATGTTGGCATCCGGGTCGAAGGACCAATTTAATGTCAGCCAACACCAAAAACAATGTAAAGCAGGAAAAGAAAGGCACAGAGTCAGAATTATTTTTACTCGCGAGGAGAGTAGGAAGAGACCGTACATCTACAATCTCCACCCCACTCTGCCGGTCTTCAGCTTTCTCCTCGCTAGTTATTAAAGTCAGGGGGGGTCCCTAGTTACACAAGCTGAGGTCTTGCTGTCAAATGGTCCAAGGAATGGCTGGTTTCATTGGGCTTGAGCAATACTTCCTGAGAGTTGACCTATACTGCTTGTGCAACACCTCTCTGGAACAGTAATATGTCACACATTATACATTATAAGAACAAACATCAAGTATCTTATACATAGTTATTCCAACAGTTTATTATATATGTTTACGTATACTGGAAAGACTGGATTAGAAGTTTCTGACCAGCCAATCACCAATAAGGGCTAATCTAATGCAGAACTTGATTTTTTTGTGCATCTCTGATTAATATATGTAAATAGTTGATTGTTTTACCAATAGGGCTCTGGTAATAGATGTCCCAGAGTTAGATGATAACCCAACAGCTTTGCATTCACAAGCACCATCTCATTCTTAAAGACCTACCATGTTCTTCATCAAGACTGTCAGCTTCTGGCTGCCATGTAACATATCTGAAATGTTTTTCCCTTCACCCTTCCGTTGAGCGTCTGTCAGTCTGGATCAGGCATAATCGTAGCTGGAACCCTGACAGAGTATGTGATGCTGTCAAGGGAATAGCAATTTGGTTGAAGTTGGTGAGGTCATTGTCCGCAGATTCAATTTAGATCACATGACTAGAGGGAGCACCATTTTGCCCAATGCATTTCGGGAAAGGGGGCCTCTGTTTTAGAAGATTAGCTATTTTCCACCCCATGCAGGGAAAATTAGGGAGGAAATGGCTGTTTTTACACTGACATGGCCAGAGCCAATTCGGATATCTGCTCTGTTTTCTCCTAATTACAATAAACATGCCAGATACCTATATTCCATCATTGCTGTGGAAATTGTTTGCTTTTATACAGAGTCTCACACAGAGTAATGTTCTGTTGTGATGGAGGGGGGTCCATTATTCAATAGATCACAGATTTCCTGGCCAAGATAATGCAATAAAAATGCTAGAAAACCTGCCTCTAGCTATCACGATGTGGTTTAAACGCAGAAAAGGAAAACCACAGTAAGATGACAACATCCTGGCACAATTTAAAACCACATGCAACAATGAAGCATTAACAAGCTGCAGAATAGACTGACATGAGGTAGCTGTGCCAAATAATGGAGCAACACAGTCACATGTAATCTGTTTTATTCCCCAAGGCCTCCACCATAAACATTTCTTATCAATCTCCTGGGGGAGTTATGTGACCAGATCATCTCTCTGTTGCTCAACACCTAAGGAATGAAACAAACTGCATGTGAAGCATTTTGATGAAATGTTGCCTAAATGTTGGACAGAGGGCTCAGGAGAGTTATTTGTGAGGAACCACATGTATCTCAGCAGTTTAACTAGGA